GCTTCAGAGCTGCAGCAGTGGGTGGATCTCTTGTTTTTGTTAGTTTCTAACTGAAATTTAGAGATCCCCAGTCTCACTCATGGACATGTGAGCCACCACTGTTTAAGCACATAGGTTCTCCAGCTGACAGTGATTGAAAGATGCAGATGCTGATATTTCTCTCCAGCTTTTCCAATTACACATTTCTGGCTACTGTAAACACCTGGCTCTGTGTCCTTATTTGCTGGATCATGGAGTAGACCAGCATAAAGACTGACTTGGAGGATGAACATCGGCGCTGAAATCCTTGGATTAGCTGTGTCCCACAGGGTTTATTTTGTCACTTTGAACTTCCTCTGTTTTGGGTAGAGCTAATAGTTCTTTCCAGTTGATAGCCTTTGCTGAAAGTTTCTGTCTCTGGTTGTGAGGAATCTGCAGTAGAAAGCATATGAATCCAAGGCGAGTTGTACCACATTAGCGTGCTAAAGTCAATCTTGACTATGCTCATGCCAAAATGTACCAATGCAGGATTTTTTTTCTCCTTTTCTTTCAGTTCAGTTGTCATTTTGTACACCTTGCAAAAAATCATGGCTGATGTATGTTGAAACTGTGGTATGTTTCCTCAGAACTGTTGTTTGGCAGGGATGAACAAATACTTGAACTAGAGTTGCATTAGATAGACCACGAAGGGACAAGTCAGAAGTTTTATTCTTTAGTTTGGTTCTTCATTCCGTTGAGTGTTTTTTTCTTTGAATATGTCTGATGACCTGCACTGAGGATTTCTATTCAAGTCTTTGTGAGAGCATCTGATAAATTTTGTTAGGAAGTCATCAGTCTTGCATTTAGACATCTTGTTTTGCTCACTGGGATTTGTAGTTCCTTCAGCAAGCAGCAAAAGTGACATCTCCTTGACTGATGCAGTTTTCTTTAACCTGAGTTAAACAATAAAGTTATTTTATATTAATACATTAATGTGGCATAACACATGTCCTCTCTCCATTTTATTGTTTTGTTTTGATTTTGTTTTTTAATTTTCCTGGAGGAATTTTATTTTACTGTGTAAGTAGTATTTTTCTCCCTTTCCTATGAATTTATTGTTAGTGCTTGCTTCTTTTAAGGAATGGTAGGCTTACTGATACCCAGCTGTAAGAGGAATAGGAGAGGAGAGGAAAAAGCTTCAGTGTGTTTACCTGTAGCTCTTTTCTTTATCTAGGGGTTAGGCTGTTGTACTTGGTGAACAAGGCTGGGGATGCTTCCCTTGGAACTCACACATTCTGCTGCACTGCAATGCTGTGTGTGCCTGAGTCTTATCTGTATGTCTTATCTGTACCTCTTTACAGAGTGAGCAAAACTGCATGGACAATGAATTATTCCTTCTGTTACCTTTGGCACGTTAAAGATGGCAGTGCATAGGGAAAAAAAAAAGTTTTCAGTTCTTCTGTTAACAACTTAATGTTGCTTGTTTAGGATGATAACCTACAGTTCGTTTTTCAGAGTTGAACCCTTGGAAGCAGAATGCGTGTGAATGAGCGATCAACAGCTGCTTAAGTGTGTGATTAATTTTGTTTGACAGACACAAGTTGTGCTGATTGCAGAGCAGCGAGGGCGCTTTCATGCTTTTTCAATTACTCATAAATTCTAGAGGGTATCTTAGGACAGCTCTCATGTGCTAGGCATGAGTGCTCAGGCAGAGTGCTGCTGGATTAAAGGCTAACGCTGAAAGTGTTGTGCAGAGCAATGCAGTGGTGACTTCAATTCTGCATGAATATGAATGTATTTACGATGACCAAACACTTAAAAGCTGTAGAGTCTGAGGAGCACGAAAGAGGAGACCTTGTCTATTATTAAAATGAAAGCAGTGTCTTGAGTCAAATTCCCTGGTAACTTTTATGGGAGAACCAATAGGACAGATAGCTTTGTTTTGGAGAGCTGACACCCTTATTGTTTTGAGCATAAAAATTTTAAGGAATTTTGGACATTCTGATCTCAAATGCCTGTTCTTTTTTTGGCCACCGTTTAAAAATTCAAAAAAAGTCACAAACCCCAAATTTCCCTTTTCCTGACGTACATATTTGCATGCTTATGTATATGGGAGAATAACAGAAAAGTACATGATTTCATTATTTGCATGGTAGCTTTTCCATCCTTTCCCACAGAAGAGAAATGTGAGTAATTTTGCAGTGTGTTCCAGTTTGATGCCAGCTCGCTCTGCATTGTTTCACAAGGCATTACACTTCGTGTGTCCTGTAAAAAGTTGGTTACTTTCCTTATCACAGTTCAGTTGGAGAAAGGGAATTGTCACGCTAACTGGGAAACATACATTGTGCTGCACTGGCTGATGGGCCGGTTTGTTTGCTTTCCAATTTGCTGCTAAAGACTGAGTCATTGTTACTGTTATAACAAATGCATATTAGATAACTTATCGCTGCAAAACTCTCTCTTGCAGTTAATGATAGCAGAAGTTTGAGGTTCCAAAGCCAAAAACAAGTGCATTTGTTGTTTTCTTACAGTGTCAGTGACAGAAGGTACAAAACACTTCTAACATGAAGTATGGCTGATCTCTGTGTTATGCTGACAGCAGCTGATGTTGCCCCCAGACTTTCCAACTGCTGGTTTGCTCTTTCCTCAGCAACTTCAAGGTTGGAAAAAAAATAATTAATAGGGTGTTTGCTAGAAAGACTTGGAATCTGCTTTCTAAACTTCTAACTCTGGGGTGTTTCAAGTCACTGACAGATAGGTCATTTACATGCCTGGAGACATTTCCATATCTGAGTCTGACTCCTCGTGATTTCAGAGAGAATTGAAACTGCTGCGGCTATTTGACCTCCATCTTTTCTTCATTCTGGATGAGTTGGAGCAGCTGCTTCTCATGGGTGTAGACGAATGACAAATGTCAGCCTTTGCTTTTCTCAGTACCTCAGCAAAACTGCAAGTTCTTGTCTTGTTAGGATTGCTGTATAGACTTGGCTCAGCAAAACTCAGGATCTGTGTCCAGCACTGTGTGTGTTCCACAAGAGCTCAGCAGGGACGCTGGTCCGTGGACCTTTCTTCAAGAGGGTTTGCTTCAGTAGAAACCAAATACCTTCCTTTTCCAGCCCAGCTTCGCTTTGTTTTGTTCCTTTTTTTCTCGCTAAGAGAGGAAATTGCAGAACCCTTATTACATTATTTGGTATCTTAAACTCACTGTTTTGATTTTGTGGGTTTATCTTCCTGCGGCAAAACTGATAAGTAATGGCTTTGTCAAATAGGAGGTCACATTATTTGATATATATATAGAGAGTGTTTACATAACATGAGAGCTGTAATGATGACTACACTGTGGTTACAGTAAAGGAACTGAGAAGCTGAAATGCCTAACCTTAAAATTACAAGTATATTTAAATGTTGTACTTCAGAGTACTTATACTGCAATGCTGTATCAGTGTGTTTAGTTCTCTTTCATGTGAACAGAGTTTGGCAAACGTTATGTTCTCTTAGGTCCTAGAAAGATCTACCAAGGCATTGCTTTTTCTCTTATTACAGTATATCTGTAAATGAAAGTTCAAAATGTTTGCTGCTATAGCAATATCCATTCTGTTTACAAGCTGTGTACAAATGTTTTACTGTTTGAGCCTACTCAGAGCAATTTCTTGGAACTAATGCAAACTGGAAAGCTTTACTTGATACCATTAAGAAAAGAAAAAAGGTTAAATTTGGAATATAAAAGAAAAAAATGCACTGATACTCTTGACTTGAGATAACTTTGGTCTCCATTTCCACAGTTAGCATTTTAATTGGAAAACTATTTTTGATAGTTTACAGAAGAGTGTTATGGATGAAGGTTGCAAATCTGTGTGGGTCTAACTTCATATTGTAACAACCAGGCTAAATCTGCACTGGTATCATTGAGTTCAATTTCTCCCCCCCCCCCTCCCCCCCCCGAAACCAAATATTCGGTGAGGTTAATAGCATATCAGATTTTTGCTTTCTTGCATTTCCCTGAAATTCTTGTTACGGCTTTTCGTGGAAGTTATATTGTCTCTGCAGATGTCTGAGTACTGTGATGGCAGGGTAAACGTGAAATTCCTTGGCCAGGAAAACTTTGTTCTGATCTCTTTCAAAAGCCTGGAATTATTATCTTTTCCAAGAAAAGTCTAAAGATGGGCAGACGTGCTGTTCCACAAATGGGCTGTGCTTGCAATCTGAGTCCTGATCGAGCTGATCAGACCATCAATGAGCAGCATGTCCAGTTTGTTTCCTGTGCACATGTGAGTGTCTGGATTCTAATGAAGTAAATCACTTTGCAGTTGTCTTTCCATCGTCTTGGGACAATGCGGCATAGGAATTTACATAGGTAGAAGTACTACTGTACTGGAAATGGTTTAATGTCCTTGGGTTATTAGATTTCACTTCCGGTGCATCTTTTAAATTTCTCACTTCTTGAATCAAAAAGATGTTTTTGTAGTATCCTTCCAGCAGGGGTTCAAAGGCCTCCAATGTGCAGTGGAAAACATGACCAAAAAAATGCACTTGGAGTAATTGAGAAAGATGGGCTAATTGTGCTGTCTTATAAAGCATCCTAAAATAAAGTTTTACACCACTTTTTTTGCGGAGAAACACTTTGCACTAGAAATAAGGGCAAGAAAAAAACCACAACCAAGATGTAAAGGATAGCTGTCCGTGAACTTGAGTCTGGAAAACCAGTCTCCATCTCATGAGAAGCATTAATTATGCATGAGACATCTTCCTTCTCCTGTATCATAGTCAAGGGAGCCAAGTCTGACTGTTAGCCACAACATGAGAGCAGCCCCACTTGCAATATGTTAACAGTGTTCCTCACAGTGTGTTTCATGCCTTTGTCATATGTATCAGTTTGTGTGCTATTCTTACCTAGAAAGAAGGCTTAGACGTAAAATAAAAATAAAGTACTGCTATTTCTAGTTCAATTTATGTGTTGCTTATGTACAGATAATACAGATAAAATGTGTGCTTTTCCCCCAGCGGAAAAAGATTAATCATTATTTTTGCTTCCTTGACTGTAGGCCATGGTGGCTTGTTACCCAGGCAATGGAACAGGATATGTTCGCCATGTTGATAACCCAAATGGAGATGGAAGATGTGTTACGTGTATATATTATCTTAATAAAGACTGGGATGCCAAGGTATGCAACTTCTTTCTATACATTTTTACATATACTTGCTAATGTGTCTTTGCTGCAGGGCTTTGTACACATTCTTTCTTCTGTCTGCCTAGATGTATTCCTACATTGCATTGACTTGGACGTCCTTTGCCTCTGATTCTGCAGTTAGTGAGATGTTCTGTAGATGAGGCATTTATTTTCGAAGTGTTGGTGTCATTCAGATCAGCACATATCTTTATATTATTGTGGATAAGAGGTTTAGAATAGATAAGTATTTATGGCACAGTTTGAGTGGTCTAAATAAGAATTCACTATTGGTGGTTTAAAACTCTCTATAGATGTGGTGACTGACTTCTTAATAAGGATTACCCAAGCATTTCAGTGATTTAGGTAGATTTGGCAAAAGGATATGGTTAACTGGGTGTGATAAAGGCTTTAATTTCAGCTCTGTACATGTGAAATATTTTTAAATGTGATATGTGGTACTTTGAAAATAATGTCTTGCTATATACTTAATGCATTGGTTTTAAACACTTAATTTGTAGGTAAGCGGAGGCATCCTTCGGATATTTCCAGAAGGTAAAGCCCAATTTGCTGACATTGAACCCAAATTTGATAGACTGCTATTCTTCTGGTCTGATCGCCGCAACCCTCATGAAGTACAGCCAGCATTTGCTACAAGGTAGGTCTAATGGGCTCAGGTACATTGCATGATGCAATGGTGAGGGAATCCCAATGAGAAACAAATGAAATCATGAATTATGACCTGATCCTAGGTCTCTGGATGTCGAGTTCTGGTTGTACTATGGCAAAAAAATTTGTTTTTTCTCTTCTGGATGGTTGATTAGAATTCTGCTGTGCTGCTGAGTTTGTACCCATGTTTTATCACATATTTTGGAGAGAACATGCTCTTAGCCAGGGTAGGTAGGCCGTGGTACTTGAAGCACCAGAAATTGCTGAGAGTGTACTCAGTAGAGCTGGAGAGGACTGTACCTGGCCCTGCATAAACAGACCCTGCTGTAGGAGTATTGTCTGTGTTACTCAGTAATGGCTTTATATTGTGGTTTTTTCCCCATTGTCACTAGCGCAGTACTGTGCTTTTTAAAGATTGACGGGGTGCTACAGTTTTGTACCTGCTTGCCCTGGGAAGGAAGTAGGTGGTAGCAAATGGTCAAGTTCCCTCTCCCTTCAACTCTACACTTGGATTACTTTGGGAATAGGGGGAGGGCTGGAGATCAGTAATAACCATCAGTACGTGAATCTCTTCTTTTTCTTTGGAGTATTGTAAGGGTTCTTCCCAGTTTGAGTCACAGATGGAACTTGAAACCCCTTTTGTTATTGTTTAGGGGAGATGATAATGCTAAATGTACATGCATTCACTGCCCGACATCTTGAGTAAACACTGACAGATTGTGTTAATAGATAAATCATTGGAGTTGTTGGTCCAAACTTCCTGTTGCACACATAGCACTGAGCATTAACTAGGGCACTGAGATAATGCAAGCACCTCTGCAAGAAGTAATTTGAAACTGCAGTCTGCAGTCCTCTTATTTAGAGCCTTTCCCAACGCTGCAGCACTCTCCCTTCCCCCTTCTGTGCAGAGGGTGAAATGTCGTACACTAAAGCTCCTTAATGTCTTTTCTCAATAGCTGGCACTTCATACTTAAATCCTCTGTGGGCAGTGGAAAACCAGAGGAGCTGTGTAAGAAGGGGCAGTTAATTTTCCCTTATGGCAAGTGTCCAAGAATGATTTCTTGTGGTGTGACTCAGCAGTGGACTTGACCAAGAGAAGCTGAAGATGAGGTCATGGGGCAGAGTGATTGCCCAGTTTCTGGGCAAGAACTGTAATAACAACTCACTGGGGGAAAAACTACTTACAGTGTCAGCGTCACCCTTTCAGTAGCTATTCAGACAGTGCGTACTGCTTGCTTTCTCTTCATGAAGGTTTTCTTCTGCTGAACTGCAGAAGTATGGTCTCATTGACTTTTTTCATTAAGTGCTTCACTGTAATGTTTTTCCTTACAGTTCAGGATTTTTTTAATTTTTTTTTTTATCATTTTCCCTAGGTACGCAATAACGGTGTGGTATTTTGATGCAGATGAAAGAGCACGAGCTAAAGTAAAATATCTAACAGGTAAACTCTTGTCAATATCTCCTGTTTTTTGGTTGGTTGTTTCGTTTTTTTTTTTTTCCTGGAAGAATAGCTGAGCAGTCCAACCTCATGTCCTCAGCCCACCTTCTACACAATAAGGGGGAAAAAAAACCAAGGCGTAATTCATCTAGTCAGGCTTTACAGGGATGGTGACCCAGTGGCTAAGCTGCTAGCCCATGACTTAGGAAATCCAGGTCAGCTCCTTGTTCTGCACACACTTCCTCTGGGATCTGAGGCTGGTTGGGCTTTTCAAATGGGGGATGTGGCCTCTCCCTGCCTGTGTCACTTTGGTAGGAGTGATGGTTAATAAATGCACCACAGGTCTGAGCGCCATGTAAGTCCTTCTGATGGGATATGGCGATCTGACTTGACTAGAATCTCTGTGCTGGAGAAACAAAAACCTAAAATTAAAATCTGTAATCAAAGAACGAAGTGACTTCCTCCATTTTCAATTCCACGTATCAAGCATCTGTTTTCCTTTTCTGACTTCTCCTCAAGAGGAAGCTGATCTAATTTTCCTGTTCAAATTAGCATTATAAGGAGAAGTGGTTTGGGACTTTTGTCGTACTTGTAAACGCATCACGATTTTGTGCTTGCTGTGATAAGAACAAAGAGCAATCAGGTGTATGGCAGGTGCACATATGCACAGCATATTTCTCAGTGGTTTCACCAATCGCTCTGAAAAAGCCGATTTTTGGACACGTGGGCCCAGTCACTTCCAAATCAGATTTTGTTCACAACTTTTCGGTGCCTTGTAACACTCCTGTAGTATTGGGACTGCAGTTCCACTGCCTTGTGGTGCAGTCGTGGCTCAGTGCCTTTTGGGAGCGGTCAGAGTAACGCTGCTCCTGCCTGGCTTGCACGGAAGGACAAGAAGCCAAGGGGCAGGGGTCGGGGTGAGCTTGGGGTGGCAGTGGCACTCCCAGGCCATGGGGAATGCTGGTGACACATGCCCGGCCCCGCGGGGCTCTGCGGGAAGTGTGTCAGCGTTGGAAGTCAGTCCCCACACACATGTGACCCTGTGCCTTATAAAGCTGATGGAGAACAGTCGGAGCCATTTGGTTTGTCTCCATACAGCTTTGGCTCCTGGAAGCAGCTTGGGTGAGCAGGAGCTCTGCCCCCTCCCTCTGCAGTGTCTCCCCCTCAGCTGCAGGGAGCAGGAAGGAAGGAGGAAGCTTTAATTTTGCGATTGGTTAGGTCTAGCACAGATTCCTATTACCCAGTTATTCTTATTTATCTCAATCGCAGTTTTATTTGCAGTTAAAATTGCAGTGTTTGTTCTTTATCTGAACTGAGAATCGTACAAGAGTCTTTGTATTTTTCACTGATATTATAGTTATAAAAGAGCATTCAGGTTTTGGCTAAAGCCATGCAAGTATATGTGAATTTTCTATGGATATGGAATATTGTCTGCTAGTGTTTTCATTGGGTGTACTTGTCGTTATTCAAGTTAATCGTAAGGACTGAAAAGGTGAATTATTACTATTGTTATTATTAGCATTGAGTCAAGTGTGATGTTGCATTTAAAAAAAAAAAAAATCCTTCAGTGTTTCTTCACAAAGATAAATACCTAGAGACTCTGGGTATTCTGATCCAGAGTAGTGGACTGCCTCCTCGCATCTGAAAAGGCTGTTCTTATAGGTTTGTAAAGGTCGAGGTAATTAATTTCAAAACTGCACATGTGACTGAAGTATCCAGCTTTCTGTTTGGCAGCCAATTAAATGCCTGCTTTCAGAGGTTACAAGTAACCACAGCATACTGGCTTTCCAGAGCACAGCATGCAGAGCAGGTGCACAGAAATATACATTTGGATGCATCACGTGTACTGAGTCATCCTTGAAGATTCTCTTAAAACTAAGCTAGAAGAAAGTGGTACAACCGTTCTGTAGATCATACTTTGATAAATGCTGAAAAATAATACTGGATTCCTTTTTGTCTTTCTGCAGGTGAAAAAGGTGTGAGGGTTGAACTTAATAAACCTTCTGACTCGGTTGGGAAAGGCGTTTTATAAGCCTTTGTTTTAGCCACTCCTCTTGCTATTCTCCCTGAGAAACCTTGATGCTATCTATTAACTTTTGAATGTGAATAACAAGGTAAAGGAAAATCAACAACAAACCAACATTTTAATAAAGAAGCATACAGTGTTTCCATGTTGCATCAAATAGAAGATTTTTTTGACTGCTGAAGCATTGTACTATGTGATTGTCACTCCAGGCCTGTGACTGCTTATGTGAAGAAGATAAGCAATCAGTAAGGAACAACATATGCATCTGGACATAAACAAGTGCCCTACATAGAATTTGTTCATCCTTATATTTTGCCAGACCTGTCATCCAGCTGAATCAAATTCATCACTCCTTTTTTTATATGGTAAAAGTTTGAATTTTGGGTAATTTTTGTATGACCAGGTACCGTTTATCAAAATTGAGTCTTAAAAAAAAGTAAAAACAGAAAAAAAAAAAAGAAAAAAACTACAGTATTCTCCAAAATAACATGAATCTATTTTTGTAAAACTGTTCATACTGTTCTCCTCTGCCATGAAAGACCTAATGTAAGGGTTGCCAGTAACTGATAATCACTTTAATTTTCTTTACACCTTAAGTCAGAGAAGGAGCACTTTAATTACCAGCTAAAAACCTGATTGTTTTATATCATATCTCACACTAATCTTAACTTTTAAAGATTGCTGCTGTATTGTTTTTTGACTATGTCCTCTTGAACCGTATTAACAGAAGCAAATCAATATCTTGCTACTAGTAACATTCAGTTTGTGGTTTTGTATGTTGAATCTACAGAGGGAAGTTTCGGTCTCTGTTTTTGGTTTTGTTCTGTTTTTATTTTGTTTTGTTTTTAAGTGACTGGCACTAAGTGAACTTGACACTATCGGTTGCTGTCATTGGCTTTGGGGACCTGGTAAATACCATCAAGATACAAGAACATACAAGGGCTTTCCTAGGCTATTAGAGGTACCCACAACCTCCCTGTGTACTTTACAGAAATTTTTGAGCTTTCTCCCTTTTCTAAAGAATACTTGCCATCCCCCTTTCCTTTGTATATAAGTTAACAGAATATCTAAAACTCACTTTTTAAAAAAATGTCCTTTCCAAATGTTGCTGTCCTATGCAGTCTTCAAGTAAGTTGACACCTTGATCTATCATATAGCGTCAAGGAAATGGTCAGCACACTGAAGGTGAAGCGCATCACTGTAGGCTCCTTCTGCAGTACACCTTTAGAATCTCACTGTGCTGAAGGATTTCCCCCCCCAAAAAAACACTGGCCTCTGATCAACACTGAGACGCATGTTTAGTAAAAAAAAAAAAAAAAACAACCTTTGCTTTCTTTTACTTTTTTTTTTTTTTTTTTTTTTTTTTTTTTTTTTTTTTTTTTTTTTTTTTGTTGGGGAAGGGGACATCACAGAATAAAAGTGACATGCAGAAACTTAGGTATTTTAATTTTTAAGAGATAAATGTTTTGGACACTGCTCTATTTTTTTCTTCTCCCCATCCCCTCCCTCCAAGCTTTAAAAGCTTCAGAAAAACAAACCTATAAAAGACTGCATTCATACATATATATATATATATTTATATATATATAGGAGCTAGGGGGTTGATCAACTTAACCCACTGCGGTTTTCTATCTGTCCCTTATTTCCTTACTTAGCCAAAACAATGTGAGTGTACAGAAATATTTCTGTATATACTACAACTTGTGACAATTTTAGCATCTGTATAGTTTGTATTCAATTAGAGACCTTTTCTATGGAAAGCTCAGTAATTTTTTATTAAAAAGATTACTATTGTTCATGTAAAACATGAAAAAAAGCTAATTGTTTAGTAACAAACTGACAGAAGGGGGAAAAATTCAGTATTGGTGTATCAATTAGGAGAACCAATGGAAATCCCAGTTTTGTTTTTCCTTTTCTTAACACGTTCTTGCCCTTTGCAATTCTCTTCCTCTTTCCTCGTTTCTTCCCAGACAAAAAACAGATAGGATACCTTTACTGTAAGTGCCTCTGCCAACCTGGCCAAGGAGTGCAAATCTTCATTAACTGTCTGGTCTGCAGTGCATTTAGACTATCAATGAAACAAGTAAAAAAGCCACCTCTTTTACTTCATCTTTAGTACTTTGTTAATGGAGGTTCGGTTGGTTTTAATTTAGAAATGTACAGCATAAGCCTTTAAACTCATTTCAGTCCCTCCGTAATTCAAACTTCTGCAGTTATACAGCGTATCAAATTCTAATCACGTAGGTTTGTGCTTGCCAGACAGGTTTAAAAAGTGCTTAATTTTACACTCTGTGTAAGTCATTACAGTAGGGTCAACAAATCAGGTCAGCCATTTCTTCAGTGTCCTTTAGAAACTTTATTTCATGTCGGTTGAATATTCAGTCTTGAGCATCACCAAGCAGCTCCTCGTTTCAAAAATATTTTTTAAACTGTCTTTTGATCTGTATGTGTCTAGTCCTGGTTAAAGACAAAGCTTCATAATGCTATTTTTATTCATGATGTTAGCCAGCTGTAAAATATGAGACCTTTATCTATAGCAGGCAAAGAAATTCAGGATTCATTTACAGGTTGCCTATAAAGTTGTGTAATTTGAAAAGCAGTGTTCATTATGAAAGAGCTCTCAAGTTGCTTGTAAAGCTAATCTAATTAAAAAAAGATGATGTATAAAAGTTCTTGAAAACAATGTGGTTATTTGTGATCTATGTAATTTTTGGAAACCGCTGTAGTAACTAGTTTATGAATGGCCCTGATGAAGTAGGGTATGTGGATTTCTGTTTTAAACCAGAGCAACTTCTACTCTGGAGAATGATCCGTTTCTCTGAGCTGTCTTCATCACGTGGGTGTGCTGATCATTTTTCTCATTCTTTTCTCCATCAAAAACAGCCCAAAGCTTAAACTGGTTGGAGTGACGACCTACATAGAGGCACTACTTATTTTTCACCATTTTCTGATACGTGCAAGAAACATAACATGAAAGGATTTATCATAGGAATAATCAAATCGAAGAATGGCTTGCATTGGAAAGAACCTTAAAGATTAGCAAGTTGCAACCTCCCTGCCCTTGGCAGGGCTGCCATCCACTCATTGATGCTGCCTGCCAAAACTCCCAAGTGCTTTTCTGTAGGGCTGCTCAAAATGAATTCTGTTCCCAGTATGCAAATCAGGGACTGCCTCAACCAAATTGCAACACCTTGCCCTTGTTGAAGCTCATTAGGTTTCTGTGGGCCCATTTCTCAAGCCTGTCCAGGTTTCATACAATGGCAACCCTTCTGTAGTGTCAGCTGCATCGCTCAGCCTGATTTCACTCAGCACACTTGCTGAGGGTCTGTGTCATTGATAAAGATATTGAAGAGCTCTTGTCTCAAAATGCACAGCTGGAGGACACCACTTGTGACCTGCCTTCACTTGGACATAGAGCTGTTGACAACAACCCCTCTGGCTAAGGTGATCCAACCAATTATTTGCCCACCAAATAGGCCATCATTCGAATCCCTCTCTCTCCAATTTAGAGATAATGATGTGGTATGGGACTGCGTCACATGCCTTGCACAAGTCCAGGCACATGACAGCAGTTGCCCTTGTCCACTGAGGTCATCGCTCCATCATCGAAGGCTACTGATCTGCCTTTGGTGAAACCATACTAGTTGTCTTGGTCACTTCCCCATCTTGTTTGTGCCTTAACATTTCCTCTAGAAGGATCTGCTCCTTCCTAGACACAGAGGTGAGGCTTACTGGCCTGTAGTTCTCTGTGTTCACCTCTCTTAGAAACAAGAGTGATGTCTCTTTCCAGTCACTGAGGACTTTGTCTAACAGCCATGACTTCTCAAATATGATGAAGAGTAGCTTGGCGACCATATCAACCATTTCCTTCAGGACCCTGTGATGCATGTCATCGGGCCCTATAGACTTGTACATTTTTGGCCTCATGAGATGGCAAGGTTTACTGGGAACTCTTCAGTTTTACATGGTCCCTAATGAATTTCGAGCCCTTCTGAAATGGTAGAAGAGCGATAGAGTTTACAGAGGCCAGCCCACACAAGATGCCACACAAATTTTCTATGCTTCCTCATTGGGCCTCAAAATGGCTGTCCAGTAATCAAGGAAGCATCACGGTGACTGTGCTTCTGCCATTGCTCCAGCTTGTTTGAAACCCCAGCTTGTTTGATTGTCTGTCTTGTGCTGGTTCAGTGGGAGTTCCTTGGGCCTCTGGGTGAGTCTGCCAGCCTTAGTGCACCTTCTGTCACACATGGATACCTGCTGGTCTCTCCTCTGCTCTGTGGCGATGGTTTCTGTCAGGGCACTAGGCTCAAGCCTAAGTGCAGGAGCACTAGCTGGTCCTGATATGGACTTAAGTTCTACGTTCTCTTGAAATCTTTCCCTGTCTTCCTTTTGTGTTGAATGAGGAAGGAGACTTGTAGTGCTCACAGCTATCCTGGACAGATGTGATTTTTTATAATCATATTGTTGAGCACAACGTGCGGAGAAATCATTTTGCGTAGCAAAGTCAAATGCTGCACCAAGGAACAGTGAAGTCTTTTTTGGCTGTTGCTCAAAAGAAAGCCACTTGCAAATCTGACAGGAAGCGAACTGACAGCCCGAGTGCTGGAGGCAAATATCTTATGCAAAACATCTGGACGTGCTGACCGCCTTGAGGTCAGGGGTGGAAGGACCAAATCTCTTAAGTCACACTGATAAGTACAATCGGACTGGGAAGTACCGCTTCAGTGCCTCCTGAATGCTTTGAAGAAGAGGGCAGATTGCTAAATGTCAAAGGCAAACTCAAATCTGAGAAACCAGAAACTAGCATGTGTACTTTGCCTGTAGGCATGCAGATGGCTGCGTGCACTTGCAAATGCATAGTGGGAGTGAGTACTCAGCGGCCAAGACTCTGAAGAACTTCCTGGGACTCGCTTGGGTTTGGTTCTCGTCTGCTTTTCTGGGGGTGGGTGTGGATCTGCAGAAACTTGGGGCTTTCGCACAAAATAATATTTAGCCTTTTTTGGGGAACGTGAATAAAGCTTGAATGCAAATGATTGCTGCAAATGCATCAAAGCCCGTTTGAGGCCTTACATCAGTGCAGAAGGTCTGCTGGCCGTGAGGTATGCGCCCTTCTGAACTCATGCCCCTGCCTGGTGGGAGGGGAGGGCAGCTATCAGAAGCAGGTTCAAGGTCCTCTGCTGTACTGGACAAAGCCAGTTCTAGAGGATTCACCTTGTTGACTTTTGCTGCCATTTACTCAGTTCCATCATGCTTTTTCCCGTAACTTTGAAGAGGAGTGAATATACAGCACATGTATTGCTTCCTGAGCAAAGATAGGCACAAGCCCAGAACTCCCTTGTGGAAATCGGTACTCAGAGTTGGCTCTAAAAATGGAAGGAGCAGATGAGGTGCAGATCACCAACTCAAGTCCATAGCAGGACAGGGAGGAAGGAAGGGTTGAATTAGAAATGGGAAAGCAGGGCAGGAAGAGAACTGAAGTATGAGACCAAAATAAAATGTATGGGGTGGGTGTGTGGAACATGGAACATAACCATGCAAAAATGTTATAGGTGTCTCCATGGGAGACAAACAAGAGAAGAGGATATGCTGCATGTTTGCCTCAGGAAAGGCAATTGCTGATTCATCCCATCTGCCTTTCTCTTCATGGGTGCTGTTGCGAAACATCATACTTTTATGTCTGAAGATAAGAGGTCTGAACATTCTACTTGAGCTGTTTCCTTGTCTGCCTTCCAGATGTGGACTTTGGGGAGCTTTTCCCTCTTATTAAAAGAACAGCTTGGGATTACATTTCTATTGGCAGTAGCTTGCGTGTTCTTCAGGAGATCTTCTAGCCTACTCAGTGTACAACGTGGTGATAAATGCTGGGAAGGATGACCAGCTGTTTTAGCCATGAGCCCAGAACTACTGTCTTCACGTGGCTGAACAGTAAGTTGCATTGTGAGTCAGTATTTCAGTACCTAAAGACAGCAAGGATCGTACAAAGGGCCAAACAAATGAAGGTCAAAACTAGAGCAAGTCATGTGTGTTACCTTTCATTTCTCCGAGGACAGTGTGGTTCAAAACACTGCTAATATTTGGTAAAAGGACTCAGGGTAGTGTGTAATAATTAGATCTGTTTTCTGAGATGAGAGTCTAGTGGACACCATTCCTTCCAGCAGAGATGATACGCTGATGGTAAGGTTTCAACTGCTATGTAAGGCATATTTCCTTTCAGTCCTCCTTTCCCCAGCTACAAGATAATGATGGGCACGTGTTCTG